GTAATCAGATGTTTTTTGGCCTCCATCTTTACTGTTTGATTGTTTCTCAGATTGTCCAGAAACTGGATGGTCCTATTTATTCAGGGAAACCTCAAATATTCCAATATTAGATATAATCTCCATCGCCAGGCAAGAAACAGGTTAAGAGAAATGAAAACTTCCTCAAGTTCCCATTGTTTTAATTTAATACATTTCGTTTTCAACCTAAAATATTTTCCTTTCTTGATGTATTTATTTCTCTTACTGAGATACAATTCATATAGCATAAAATTTATATTTCTAATGTGTATAGTTCAGTAGGGTCTTTTTAGCCTATTCACAAATTTCTGAAATCATCACAACTATCAACTGCCAGAACACTTCCATCACTCCCTGAAAAACCCATATCCATTAAGAGTCACTCCTCATACCAGTCTCTCCCCAGTCCTGGAAACCATTAATCAGAGATCCGTCTCTATGGACTTGCTTATTGTGGACATTTCATATTAATGGAATCATAAAATATGTGGCCTTCTATGTCTGACTTCTTTCATCCAATATAATGCTTTCAAGGTTCATTCATGTTCTAGTATGTATCAGTGTTTCATTCCTTTTTATGGCGGAATAATGTTCCATTGTGTGGATATACCACATAATTTTATTTATCTGTTTTTGTTCATGGACTTTGGAGTTGTTTCCTTTTTTCTTCTGCTGTTATTATTAATGCTGCTATGAAAATTTTTGCACAGGTTTTTGTGTGAACATATGTTTTTAATTATCATGGGGATAAACAATATATCTAGGAGAGCAATTTATGGGTCATATGGGAAATCTGTGTTTAATTTTCTGAGAACTGCCAAACTGTTTTTCACAGATGCTTCACCATTCTATAGTTCCACTACCAATGCATGAGAGTTCCAGATCCTCCACATTCTCAACAACACACCAACACTTATTTTACCCTTTTTTTTTTTTTTTTTATGGCCATGAAGTGGTATCTCATAGTGCTTTTGATTTGAATTTCCCCTGATGAAAGATAAGGACAGTATCCTTCCATCTGCTCATGGGCTATTAGTGTGTCTTCCACAGGGAAATGTCTATTCTAATGGATTGCCAATTTTTAAGTGATTTATTTGTCTTTTTATTGTTGAGTCCAAGGAGTTCCTTTTATATTCTGTTAGATGTATTGTTGAAGACATTTTTTTGCTATACCATAGTTGTCTTTTCACTTTCTTGGTGTTGTCCTTAAAACCACTTTACTTTTGATAATATCTGACTTACCTAATGTTGCCTTTGTTGCCTGTCCTCTTCGTGTCATATCTCAGAAACCACTGCCTACTCTAAAATCACAAAAATCTATACCTTTAAAAAGAGACTATAGATTGAGCTCTTACATTAGACAAATGATCGATTTTGAGTTAATTTTTACATATGGTGTAAGAATACAATGCATTCTTCTGCATGTGGATATCCAGTTGTCTCAGTATTATTTGTTGAAAAGACTATTCTTTCCCATTGAATTATCCTGGCACCCTTGTCAAAAATGAATTAACCATTAACGTAAGGGTTTGTTTCTGGATTCTCAAGTTTATTTCAGTAATTTATTTCTATGCTTATGCCAGTACCAGAATGTAGTAATTACTAAATTTTAAGTAAATTTTGAAATAGAGTCATGTGAGTTCTCCAACTTTGTTCTTTTTGACATGATTACTCTGGGTGTTATAGGTCTTTGAATTTTCATATGATTTTTAGCATCAGCTAATCAATTTCTGCAAAAATGTCAGCTGGTATTTTGATAGGGATTGTGTTCTATCTGTCAATCAATATGTGGGATAGGCCATCTTAGCAATATTAGGTCGTCCAATCCATGAACATGAGATATCTTTCCACATATTTAAGGTCTTTAAATTTTTTTAATGATATTTTGTAGTTTTCAGTGCACCAGTCTCTCACCTTTTTTGTTAAATTTAATTGTAAATATTTTAGAGTTTTTTTATTGTAAATTGCATTGCTTTTTCATTTCAATTTGAATTATGATTGCTTTGTATAGAAATACAATATTTTTGTATTGATCATGTATTCTGCCATCTTTCTATACTATATTCTTAGTTCTACAAGTTTTTGTAGATTTCTTAGGATTTTCCATATATAGAAGATCATGTCACCTGCAGATAGAGAGTTTTGCTTTTTCCTTTCCAATTTGAATGCTTTTTATGTATTTTTCCTCATCTGATTGCTCTAGCTAGAACCACCAGTACATGTTGAGTATAAACTGGTGACAGCAGACATTAGTATCTTTTTCCTCAGTTTATGAGGAAAGCACTCAGTTTCTGATCATTGACCATAATATTGGCTGTGTTTTTTCCTCTTTTCATACACTTGCCTTTATCAGGTTGAGGAAGTTTCCTGTTATTCCTAGTGTGTGTGTGTGTGTTTTCTTTAGTCAAATGCTATTTCTGCATATACTGAGATGATCATGTGATTTTGTTCCTTATTCTGTTATCTTGGTATATCATATTGTCTGATTTTGATGTCTTCAACCAATCTTGCTTTCCTTGTATAAATATTGGTACATCATATAGGGTAATCCTTTTTATATGTGGCTGTCCTTGGTTTGCTACTATTTTATCAAGGTGATTTATACCTATATTCCCAAGGGTATTATAGTTTTATTTTTTTCTGATGTTTTTATCTGATTTTTGTATTGGGGTACTACTGTCCTGATAGAATGAGTAAAAAACAGTTTCCCTTCTTTTATTATTATTATTTTTTTTTATTTTATTTTTTTAATTTTTGCCAGAGTCTGTGATAGATTTGTCTTAATTCTTTAAAAGTTTGGAAGAATTCAGCCTTGAAGCCATCTGGGCCTTGGTGTTTCATTGTGAGAAGTTTTTTGATTACTAATTCAATCTTTTCCCTTGTTATGGGTATATTTTAAAGTTCTCTTTTTTCCTGAGTCAGTTTCATTTGTTTGTGTCTTTCTAGGAATTTGTCAGCTTCACCTAGATTGTCTAATATTTTGGCAATTGTTCATAGTGTTCCCTTTTAACTACTTTTTGTTTCTCTAAATACAGGAGTAATAACCCTCCTTCATTTCTGCTTTTAGTAAAAGAACGTTCTACGTGCACTTGAGAAGAATATGTCTTCCACTCTTGTTGGATGAAGTGCTCTAAATATGTCTGTTAGATCTAGTTGGTTTATAATGCTATTTAAGTCTTCTAACTCCTGTTGATCAATTGCCTAGCTGTTCTATTCATTTTTGCAAGTTGGGCTTCAAAGTCTCTAACTGTTTAAACTAAAGTAATAGCCATAAGGAAAAGTTCTTTCCAGTAACCACAGCAGTACCTCTAAAGAAATATGCAGAGGTCCATGATTCACTATATAGAAATGCACAGAGAATTGTTTCAGAGGGGTTATATTAGAACATCAGATTTTTATATATTTTTGCTTATTTTCACCATTAGTTCTATGTTTTTAAACAGACATTTATATCATACTGATAACCCTTTGCAAAGTTTTCCGTGTTCCCCTTACTCTTTTTAATGCATATTTAAGCAGGAGAGTTCTGGTGGTAACATGCTATCAGATGTTCAATCTCTTTCAATAATTATATAGTTACTATCGATTTTTTATAATACTATTACTCTGTATATGCAACATGTTTACTGGATTGCTGTTAACGAAGGCCTTTAAAATAACCTAAAAGTCTTTAAAAGTAGGTCCCTAAAACTATGTGAAATATTTTTTAAATTTATTTTGATACTTTATTTATTTAGCTACTTCAAAAAGTTTGTGGAAAGATTTGTATTGTCTTCTAATTCCATTTTTTTATGAACTTTTTGAAGTAACTTTATACTCATGGCCCACCTCTACCTGACTATGTTTATCTATTTTTTATATATCCCTGGTACCAAGATCAGTATAATCTGAATATGTATTTTTAAATAAACGAATAATATGTAGATCTAAGTTATGTGCACAACACACGTACATATATGTCTATAATATGTGTGCAAATACATGCTAACGAAGAGAAACTCTGGAAGCATGATCATAGTTTTATAAGTTAAATGAACACTTCCTCCTCAGTAAACTTAACATTAATTAGAATTTGAGTTATCATTAGTCATTTTTTTTTTTTGTCCTTTTTGTAACCGGCTGCACCACGCTCAGCCAGTGAGCACACCGGTCATCCCTATATAGGATCCGAACCCACGGCGGGAGCGCTGCTGCGTTCCCAGCACAGCGCTCTCCCGAGTGCGCCGCGGGCTCGGCCCATCATTAGTCATTTTTTTTTTTTGTCCTTTTTGTAACCGGCTGCACCACGCTCAGCCAGTGAGCACACCGGTCATCCCTATATAGGATCCGAACCCACGGCGGGAGCGCTGCTGCGTTCCCAGCACAGCGCTCTCCCGAGTGCGCCACGGGCTCGGCCCATCATTAGTCATTTTTTAAAAGCTTTTTTCATTGTTCATTCTTAACAGTCACTCTTTGTATCACTTTTTCAGACCATGAAAACGATGGCAATGTTTCCCTCATGCCAACATCTGACATTTTCAAGCAACAAAAACATTATTCTTTAGGAGACATTGCACACAATAATACATCATTAGTTTTATACTTAGGAAACGAAAAAGTGCATACTCATATTTACTACTTTAGGAAAGTTATCCATTGTGACAGTCACTGAAAACATCACAATTATCTTAGCTAAAATCTAGGAATGTGTTTAAAATACTTTCTTTGGTCTCATGGCACCAGAAATTGATCTAATAACTGAAATAGTATTTTTTAAAATCTATTATACTATATTCATAATACTAAATTCATAATATAAAATTCATAAAACTATACTAAAGTCATCACTATCAATAAATATTTTTCCGTAAATATATTGATAAACAGTTTCCTTTCTTCTACTACCTTTAGTTGGGAGACAGACTTAATATTGGCTGTAAAATGACTAATGTTTCCGTGAGCAAGGTCCGGCTACCTTATCGTTCTGGAGTGAAGACACTTACAGCTTACTAGAGAGTGCTGGAAGGTCATGAACGATCTCTTCGTATGGCTCCTCTTGGGCTAAGGTAGGAACAGATAAAGGCTCTTTCGTTTCCTCTTCCCAGGCAATTTCAGCTTTCAGCAGCATTTCCTGAATAAACTCAGATGCAGCAATATCTACAACAAACAATACAGAAATCTGAATAATTCCGATATGCTTAAAATCCTGGAATTTACCAATGCATGAAACAAAACAAAAAATCATTAAATGTGTATACCAGGGATAAAATTGTAACACTGCCATTTAAAAAGACTGTTTTGCCATTTTAGACGTAAAGTCAGTGACATATTTAACTATGATTGAAATGAAAAATAAAAATAAAAATAATAATCACTTGGTGGTGATGTATACAATAGAAAATCATTAAGAGGCTGAACCTGAAAAAACTTCATGTCATTTTATTCTGAGTAAAACCCTTCCTGCATCTTGGTGAATATAAATCTAAATGATGAAAATAGCTATACCTTCCCAACTACAGGCTTATTACATTCTACTACATGGGTAGATGTACAAATAAGTACTCAGTCGTGTTATGAAAACAATGGTTCTGGCCTCTCTCCATGGTCTTTTTTTTTTAATTGAAAATATAGGTGAATATATTTCCTTACAAATTACACATAAACAGTGTCATTTGAATATATTTTGGCAGCAGTAGAGATATACATCAATCACGTTTACTCTTAACGATGATTGAAACTGAAACATGATAGATCCTGAAGGAAAATTCACATCAATATCAATTAAGAACCTAAAGTAGGCAGCAGCTCCCTGTCAATCACCAGGACCACATGGCCACCTATGTCTATAAATTGAGTTATGTGGCTTTATGGACTGGTCAAATTTATTTGGCTGCTACAAGAAGATACTTAACCCAGGATTTTATCACTCTTTGCCTCAGATTAAATAATATACATGCAAAAAGAGAGTGCAGCTTTTTCATTTGGAAGATTACGTTTCTGTCCCACCTAACAGCTTCACCTCAAACTGCTTTTCCTCCCAGGTCAATTTTTATGTGGTAATCCAAATTCGAGAAACATGACATAGTAGGAATATCATACAGTACTGGTGGTGCCTTGCATCTGCTCAGTGATAACACGGTGTCTAGGTCACCGCTGTCTGCACTAGTCTTTTGTCTGTTTCATTCTTCTTGCTGACCGATTAGAAGTTGGTATAGCTGGCATTTTGCTGAAACCTCTCAGTGCATCACAGCTCTTTGCTTCTTGTGAGTGAGAAGTATTTTTATTTAATTAACACATATTTATTATTGAGAGTCTATTATGGGCCCACTGCTGTGTACATGGTAGACTTTGTATGATCGATGTGGAAAAACTTGTCTGGCAGAGTCAAGTGCACTGTGTTGAAGTGACCAGGGCTGAGTCTAGGGCAGTCCACTCACTTCCTGGGACCCTAAGGTTGTCATTGCTATTGTCTCCGATGTCTGCTTGGGGCACTGACACTAGCCCTAACAGGTGAAAGTATGACAGGTGGGAGTCCATGTCGTCAAGGGTCAGTCATATCTTCCCTGTCCACGAAAGAAGCCAGGAACGTGAACTTGAAAAATGTGATCTCCTGTTAAACTGGAGTGAACAGAAGATGCGACTTTATCGACAATAATACAGGTTTTTATAATGATAGAAACAAACTACAAATTTATATTTTCTCTTTTATTATTTGCAATTATGCATATTTTTATAGATAATATTCAGCCTACTAGACTATCATTAATATTAGCCTGCTTCTTAATTTTGAGACTGTTAAGCTATCTTATAATTCTGGTTTTTATTTTTTTTATTTTTATTTTTTTAAAAGATGACCGGTAAGGGGATGTCAACCCTTGGCTTGGTGTTGTCAGCACCACGCTCAGCCAGTGAGCAAACCGGCCATCCCTATATAGGATCCGAACCCGTGGCCTTGGTGTTATCAGCACCGCACTCTACCGAGTGAGCCACGGGCCGGCCCTATAATTCTGGTTTTTAAATCTTCAGTTTATTTTAGTGGAGAAGATGAAGTAATAATCATTAAATGATGATACTTAATTCTAGTATTATGATACTTAATTCCAATAAAATAATAAATAGAGCAAATCTCTCATCCTGTCCTCAATTGGAGGTTTATCCTGTCATCATACTCCTAGAGGCACAGCAAATAAGAAATCTCAAGTATAAAGTGCTTTTAGGTTAATATAGGTATAGGAACAAGAAAAATAGATTCATTAAGTTGTTCAGATCAACTACCACCTTTGAAATTTTTATATTTTTGTGTTATTTATGCTATACTTTTGTCTTTGTTATGTAGAATTATTTTATTTTTACTATGGCAAAAATAGCTGAGTACTGACTTTGTTCTTAGATTTTAAAAGTTATAAAATCCGTGTTGCATTCATTTGTTAAATAAGTATATGAACACATAAAAGAGTAGTGATAAAAATAATTCAAGAAATCTTCAAAAAGTTATCTATTAAGAATATTTAACATTAAGTAAAAATTTTGAATGAGCACGAAGATGTTAGTCTCTATATATTTCTGGCAGTCTAAATATCTGTGCAGAAAAAACCCACTATTATTGTTTGAACATACCCTAATGAATAAACATATATTTGGTATGATGAGAAAATAGTTAAATAACTGTAAAAATACAGTTTAAAGCAGGTGACATTGAATGAATCACCACTGGAGGACTGAAGCATGAAAGATGAAATGCTTCAGAGTACAACAGAACGGAGCTGTGCATATGAGTTTCTGAATCATGCGTGAACTGGGCTGGTTTTTACACAGCTTTACAGCAGACTCCAACTGTCATGTCTTAGCTGTACTAATGGTGGATGAACAGCTTTAATATGAAAAGAAGAAACAATAACTGCTCAATGGTCCCAGGATGCTCATAACCTACCTGATGGCTTCTCTTCATTACAGTTCACAAGGTGTGGGTTTGCCTGATGCATCAAAAGAAGTTTCACCAGGTTTATCTGAAACATTAAAGATAATCGAAACAGGAAATGCTATGCCAGATCCTGAGGATTCATCAGTAAATAACACACGGTTGCTACCCTCAAGGTGCACTTAACAGTTTTGGGGAAAGAAAAAGTATTAGCATTCTCTCCAAATATTTCATGCTATCCCTATTCTCAGATTCTTTTTTGAAAATGCCACATATTCAAACTATTACAGCAATTCGTGCATTCAGAACAAAAATTATTTATCAAATGAGGGTTTAATTGGTAAGGATTTCAAAAGGACACTTCATACCTTACAAATTTATTTTACGGCATTTTGTACGAGGGTGCTTCAAAAAGTTCACGGAAATATTCATATTGTCTTGCAATTTCTGTTTTTCTATGAACTCTTTGAAGTGCCCTCATATGTTATAGTATGCTTTGTTTTGACAGCACCATGGAAATTATGAACATAAGTCATAGTGGACAACTAGGAAACCTTAATCTCAAGTAATATGAATGAAACAGCTTGATGAGAGAATAATATATATACAATTTTTATACTATATATCATACATACACAGATCATATATATATATATAATGTATACATAACATTGAAAAAGCAGTAATGAAATCAGTTTCAGTGCACCCGACTTTTAAAAATATGCCATCAACATCATATTTCTATGTTTCTCTCCCAAACTGTCCCTGTCCCTATTTTCCAGAGTTGACCACTATTATGATTTTTGGGCTAACCATTAATATCTTTCTTTATATGATTGGTAAATACCTATGGAAGCATCCCTAAGCAAAATACTGCTTAATCTATTTGTGACATTTATATAAATGAAATTCTAGTGTCCATATTCTTCCATGCCTTGCTTTTTTATGTCTTACCATTGCATTTTAGAGTCATTCAAGTTGATGGGTTTAAAGAAAGTTCATTCATGTTATTTGCTGCATAGAATTTCATCATGCAAATGGATCACAATTTATCCACCTTCTTCTCAGTGGACATTCAAGCCATTTGCAGTCATTTATTTACTTTACAAAGAATGTTCCTATGAATATTCTTGTTTATATCTCAGTGCACACACACACAAGAGTTTCTTTAGAATATATGTACTTAGAAATGAAAAGTGCTGGGATATAGGGACATCATTAAAGTGATTAGATGACTTCATTTTTTTTTTTTCAAAGTGTTGCTCAAATTTACACTCTCACTCCTAACAAGAGTTCTTGTTGCTCCACATTCTATTTGATAATTTTATTATCAGACATTTACATGTTGCTTGATTCTGTGTGTAAAAGAATAGATCGTGGTGGTTTGACGATGCACTGCTTTGAAAATGAAGGTTTATAGTAGCTGCAGGACTCTTCTGGCTTTCTTTTTGGTATTGAGTCACTTTTTAAAGCTATGATTTTCTAGGCATTTGCCATCTTTGTTTATGTTTTCTAATTTATTGGCATAACGTTGTTGGTAATTGCTATGGTTTGAATGTTTGTGCCCCCACCAAAATTCATGTTGAAACTTAATCCCCAATGTAACAGTATTAAGAGGTGGGGCTCTGCCCTCATGAATGGAATTAGCAACTTTATAAAAGGGCTGGAGGGGACTAGCTGGTCCCTTTTTGACCCTGTTGCCCTTCCACCCCTTCCGCCATGTGAGGACACAGCACTGATCTTCTCTGGAGTGAGCAGCATTCCAGGGTCCATGTTGGAAGCACAGACCAGGCTCTCACCAAACACCAAAGCTATTGGCACCTTCATCTTGGACTTTCCAGCCTCCAAAACTGTGAGAGATAAATTTCTGTTCTTTTTAAATCTAGTCTCAGGCATTTGGTTATAGCAGCGCAAATGGATTATGACAGCTATATCCTCTTACTGTGTTTTATTTTTCCTCTTGCACTTTAATAGCTGTGCTATTTCTGTAGTTACGTTTTCTTTTTCACGCATAGTATCAGTCATTTCTACATTCTCTCTCTCTCTCTAGAGACAAATACCTTCAGAACTTGGTTCATCTCATTAATCCTGACAAGAACCAATTTTGGGTATTGATCCTTTCCATTGTATCTTTGCTTTATGGTTCAGTAATTTTTGCTCTTATTTCTCTTATATCTTTATTTGTGCATTCTGTGGGTTTATTTTATTAATAACTTCATAAGTTGACCATTTATACTTATTAATTTTAATACTCTTCTTTTATAACATAAATATTTATTATTTGCATTAAAATCTTAAACGTTGCGAAATTCCATTAAACACCACTTTTTATACGTCTGACATAGAGATATAGACAATGTATTGCTTTTGTTATGTTCTGTCCTAAATATCTTTAAATTGTTATTATAATTTCTTCTTTAATTCATAGGACAGTAGGTCTGAAATAATGTGTGTTTCTGTACTACAAAATAGCTTATTCTCAATTGATACATGTTGGTATATAGCATTTTTTCCTAGGCAAGGGGAACCAAAATAATGGAAATCAAACCAGAAAATTAAAAGTTCTCAATTCGGCTGTTGTGGTGAAACCTGGAACCCTCTAAGCTGTATTTAAAAAAATACACACACACACACACACACACACATATACACACACACACACATATATATATGTATGTATGCATTATATATATATGTATATATAAATTGAAGTTAATGCAATAAAATGCACAGTTGAAACAGTTTAGACACACATGTACACCTGTTTAATCGCCACAACAATTAAGACATAGAACACTTCCATCACCGTCAATAGGTCAGTCCTGCACCACTACGGTCAATCCTCACCTTGAATAAGAAACCACTTGATGATTTATGTCACCCCAGACTAGTGTTGCCTGTTCTTGAGCATCATATAAATAGAATCTGGAAATATACATATTACATATATATTTAAACACACAAACACACACACATTCTTTTGAGCCTGTCTTGGTTGCTCAACTTAATGTTCTTGAGATTCACCCATCTTTTTGCACCTATCAGTACTTCCTTCCTTTTTATCGCCAAGTTGTAGACCATGGTATGACTACAGTACAATGTAGTCATCATTTTCTTAATTGAGAATTGAGCTATTACAGTTTTTGACTTTTTAATAAAGCTTTTATGGACACATTATTTTGGTCAACAGAGGTTTTCATTTCTCTTTTGAAAATTCTAGGAGTGGAATCCTGGGTGATCTGGTAAGTGTATATTTAACTTTATAAGAAACTGCCAGACGAGCTCACTCAGGAGAGTGCCGCACTGGAAGCACCGAGGCGCGGGTTCGGATCCTATATAGGGATGGTGGGTGCGCTCACTGGCTGAGCGTGGTGCAGACCACACCGTGCCGAGGGTTGTGATCCCCTTACCAGTCAAAAAGAAAAAGAACCCACTTGGGGGATGATGTCAAGATTTACTGGGACCAGTCCGCAAGGCTGCGTGCTTCTGTAGCACATCCCGCTGCGCAAACGCAGGTGCTCTTTGGCTTCCATGGGATGTGCACCAGGAAGTTATTTCTAGGTGTTTCTATGAGTGAAGAGAAAAAGCTGCTGAGAGTCAAACTTTTGGACATCCAACAACATCTGAAATATCAAAAACTATCCTTCCAAAAGAAAACTATCAACTCTTTTGGCATTTTTAAAATCTTTCTTTGAAGCTTTAGCCAAATATGAGATAAATGTGAAAGCCCCAAAGAAATCCTGCAGTTTCAGAAGAAAAAAGATTGTTAGCTTTAAGACTGCGTGGGACTACCAAAGGTCCACAGTGGAAAATACAGGGGAGAGAAAAATGGCAATGGGTATGGAGCGCCCGTGTCAGGAAACGGCGCGATCCTGAGAGCTGTGAGCTGTGATAC